GTCTTTCATCCATTTTGAGTTTATTTTTGTGTATGGTATGGTGTAAGAAAGTGGTCCAGGTTCATTCTTCTGCATGTCACTGTCCAGTTTTCCCAGCACCACTTGCTGAAGAGACTGTCCTTATTCCATTGGATATTCTTTCCTGCTTTGTCAAAGATTAGTTGGCCATACATTTGTGGGTCCATTTCTGGGTTTTTTATTCTGTTCCATTGATCTGAGTGTCTGTTTTTGTGCCATTGCCATACTATCTTGAAAATTACAGCTTGGTATTACAGCTTGAAATCCAGGATTGTGATGCCTCCTGCTATGGTTTTCTTTTTCAAGATTGCTTTTGTGGTTCCATACAAATTTTAGGATTGTTTGTTCTAGCTCTGTGAAGAATGCTGGTGTTATTTGATAGGTATAGAATTGAATATGTAGATTGCTTTGGGTAGTATCAACATTTTAACAATATTTGTTCTTCCTATCCAGGAGCATGGAATGTTTTTCCATTTTTTGTGTGTCTTCTTCAATTTCTTTCATAAACTTTCTATAGTTTTTGGTGTATAGATTTTTCACCTCTTTAGTTAGAGTTTCCTAGGTATTTTATGGTTTTTGGTGCAATTGTAAATGGGATTGATTCCTTGATTTCTCTTTCTGTTGCTTCATTGTTGGTGTATAGGAATGCAACCGGTTTCTGTGCATTGATTTTATATCCTGCCACTTTGCTGATGAATTCATGGGTCAGTTATAGCAGTTTATTGGTAGAATCTTTTGGGTTTTCCATATAGAATATTATGTTATTTGCGAAGAGTGAAAGTTTGACCTCCTCCTGGCCGATTTGGATGCCATTTATTTCTTTGTGTTGTCTGATTGCTGAGGCTAAGACTTCCAATAGTATGTTGAATAACAGTGGCAAGAGTGGACATCCCTGTCTTATTCCTGACCTTAGGGGGAAAGCTTTCAATTTTTCCCCATTGAGGATGGTATTACCATTGGGTCTTTCATGTATTTATGCCTATTTTTAAATTGGATTCTTTAGGTTTTGGTGTTTAGTTAAAAGTTCTTTATGTATTTTGGATATTAACTCCTTATGGTAAAAAACTGAGAACTTTTCCTGTAAGGTCAGGAAGAAGACAAGGATTTACACTCTTGCCACTTTTATTCAACAAAATACTGGAAGTTTTAACCACAGCAATCCAGCAAGAAAAAAAAGAAAAGGCATCCAAATTGGTAAAGAAGAAGTTAAACTGTCACTATTTACAGGTGATATAATCCTATACAAAGAAAACCCTAAGACTTCACCCACAAACTATTAAAAGTAATAAATGAATTCATTAAAGTTCCAGGATACAGAATTCACAGAAATTGGTTGTGTTTCTATACACTAACAATTAGGTAATAGAGAAATTAAGAAAACAATTCCATTTACAATTGCATCAGAAAGAAAGAAAATACCTAGGAATAAACTTAGGAAGTGAAAGACCTGTACTGTGAAAATTATGAAATATTGATGAAAGAAATTGAAGATGACACAAAGGAAAAGATATTCCACGTTCATGGGGCAGAGAAATTAATATTGTCAGAATGTCCATACTACCCAAAGCAGTGTATAGACTCAGTGCAATCCAAATCAAAATACCAATAGCATTTTTCACAGAACTGGAACAAATCAAACAAAGACACAATTATTAGGAAGCATTCTTCTATACTTCTATTATTCTCAGTGGGAAGAAGAGAAAAACATTTGACAAGGAAAAGCAAAACTTCTGTTGCAAGAATCCATGTAGTAAACAGTTCAGATAGTTGCAGAACATGCCAACCATGAACATCACAGTATTAAATTTAGTTATAGATATTTCTGGATTAAAATCTCCATCTATACTTAATGAAGCCAAAGAAGATGAAAACCAATTAGAAATGCTTCCTTAAAACAATGCTATAGTTAAACAAACGGTAGTTCCAGAAAAATAAAGAGAGTACTTATTTAAGAAGACCCTCTCAACTTACTAAACAGATGAGATTATTGGGAAGTGGGAGGCACAAGAAAATATTACCACAACTCAGTGCAGAATTCAAAAGCTTTTTAAAAAATGGTTGGAGGGGCGCCTGGGTGGCGCAGTCGGTTAAGCGTCCGACTTCAGCCAGGTCACGATCTCGCGGTCCGTGAGTTCGAGCCGCGGTCCGTGAGTTCGAGCCCCGCGTCGGGCTCTGGGCTGATGGCTCAGAGCCTGGAGCCTGTTTCCGATTCTGTGTCTCCCTCTCTCTCTGCCCCTCCCCCGTTCATGCTCTGTCTCTCTCCCAAAAATAAATAAACGTTAAAAAATGGTTGGAAAATGTTGCCCAAAAATACACTGACAAGTCAGCAAGGATATCCACTAATACATTTTATTACTTAAGATCACATTTAAGATAAAAGATCAAATAATTTTATTTCAGGTCAGTTGTTACTACTAATACAGATTTCTTTATATATTGTTTAACTTAGTGGTTTTCAAATAAATTTTTATTTCTATGAAAGGTATAATATTTGTATTTTTATAAATTTATAATTTTACTGAATGTTTAAAAATAAGCTTGTGAATTTTTGTCTTTGAAATGTGTTTACTGTTTAGTTTTGCTAGTTTTTAAATGTTTCCTCAAAATGCATATGGCGATTATAGTATTATAAGTTTGCTTTTTATAATTGCCCTAACTCACTGTACTGTCTCACACCTTCCTATCTTTACCCCTTGTGTTTTCTCTGTTGGAATGTCCTCTTTTTTTTTTGTCAGCCTAACAGTATCTACAAAATATGTACAAGATCCAGTGCAGGTGAAACCTCCCATCGGGAAGTGTCTCAGACCTTAACCTTCATCTCCAGCCTCCGTTGTTGAATCAGCTTTCGCTATTTCTGTGTTGTACATCTTCTCTTCCCACACACTTCACTCTATATTGGAATTTATTTGCTTATTGATCTTTTCTTCCAAGGCTCTGAGCTCTTTGAAGAGAGGGACTTACTTTCCGTCACACAATTCATTTCTGTATCCCTGGGCTGCCATATTGTCAAGCACATGGCAGGTACACTGCAAAAATGAACAGAGGCATATTCATTCCACGTCTGGCACCTTACCTGCTCCTGAGGGCGGATAACCACTGTGTTAAAATCAGGCCACTTGTCCACTAGAGCCTTCAGCTTGAATGGGTTTCCCTGGTTCATGTGGAAGACAGTCCCATAAACCTGCAGCATCCCAAGAAAGGGAGAGGGTCAGCTTGTTAGGAAGGACTGGTAAAGTGCCTTGTTTGGTCAGGACAAGGATCATTTCTATCATGAAATTTTATGTTGGAAAAGGGCCAAGTAGGGCATCTAGGTCAAACAGTCTCCATGTACTACATTTTTTTTTAACCTCAAACGAGAAGAGCTTTTTCTCCCCACCCGATATGAATCATACATGCATATAGTAAAATGTTTGGCCAGATAAAATTTGATTTTAAGAATACCATTCTTCATTTTAGGATTTAAAATTTTCTCCTTCAAGATTTTCTTCTACTCATACACATAGACACAATTTTACAAAAATTAAATGATCTGATACATGTTCCCTCCCCCAGAATGCATTGTGAGCATATTTTTATGTTCATAAACACAAACATTTTCAATTGTTTTATGATGGCTGCATAGGATTCCATCGTATGGATATATCACAGTTCATTTATTTGCTTATTGATAGTCATTTCAGCTGTTTCCAGCTTTTCACTTTGACAAATAATTCTTCATAGAGCATGCTTGACAGAAAATTTGCATGGGCTCCTGATATTTTCTTAGAATATTCAGAAGAGTAGTTGCTGGCTCAAATGTTATGCACATGTTTAAAACTTCTTAACATAAATGACCACGTTATTCTCTGGAAGGATTAAATGAACTTCCACCAACAAACAGGCTACAGCGTAGTGCTCAACAGAATGTGCTGTGTGGTCCCATGGCCTGGGGTCCAAGTCCAGTCTTGGATCCCCCTACCCCCATTTGTGTTGTGCAGGCTGTTGAGAGACAGGAAGATGGGGAGAGAATGAATGAGAACAAGTCTTGTGTTTTTGTGGTTTGGGGGATTGGAATGCAGCAGCAGATACTAGCATGGGCAACTGTGAACATGAAGCCTCTGCAGATACCAGCGTGGAAGCATGCCAATGACCTGAGGTCAAAAAGATGGTATATGCATTAATATTTCCACCTTGGATACATGATGACTAAGAACTATGCCTGTATCTTTCCCCCTGCCACTCTCCACCCCACATAAACTATTGATGTTAGACAGAAGGGGGAAAAAAGCTCAGTTGACTGAATTTATCTGAATTTATTTTGTTTTCAGCCATGAGTGGAGGCTTGATATAGAATTCAGCATAATTTGGGAAAATAGAGACATTATCTTTTTACATATTTGCATTTGGGCCCTGTAAAACTGATTTACACTATACTATTATCCATTATAGGATCTGAAAATACGTAGAACTGTTACTCTTTGTTATTCCCATGGCCTAATTAATTAAAAAAATTTCTTTTTTCCTGCTCAGTTCAGAACATACCAGCCAGCTACTCTAAGTTGACTCAACTGGAGTTGATACACGCACTAAAATGTATTTAATATCTAGCACTAAGAGGAATGGCTGGGCTTTTTCTCAACTGAGACTCAAATAAGTATTGAATTTTAGGTTATACATCCATTACAAGTACTACACATATTCTGGATTTTAATTAGGGGGCAATGTATGTCTTTAATATGCAACCAAAAATTGAAGGTGCTGTTAGGGCCACCTTATCTTACCACAGAGATCTTCCAAGAAAGGACACTTGGAATGCACCATTTTCTCAAAATATTTGGGCTCAACTTAACATAAGCAGTAAAGAGAAATTTAAGTGACAAAATTCTACACTAAATTCATGGGGAAAAAAAAACTTTGGCCTGAAGAATTGTTAAAAATAACTATTCACCATAAAAATATCTTAGGCAACTGTTTATAGAGTTTCTAACTGATGTAACCTCCCTCCCAACCCCGCAGAATTGATTGTAAGGTTGCCTGGATCTTAAGGATTATTAAGTGAAAGGAGTTAAATAGTGGGTGGTAGAGATTAATGGTAGTAGGAATCTACTAACGTGGTTAACTTTAGTTTTAGATCACAGTTGACCCTTGAACAACATGGGGGTTGGGGGGCACTGATCCCCCACTTGCAGTGGAAAATCTGTCTAGAATTTTTGATTACCCCCAAACTTAACTACGAATCACCTACAATTGACCAGAAGCCTTACCAATGATTTAAACAGCTGATTAAGATGTACAGTATGTTATATACTCTATTCTTACAATAAAGTAAGCTAGACATAAGAAGATGTTATTAATCAGATTACAAAGAAGAGAAAATCCATTTACAGTTCTGTGCTATATTTGTTGAAAAAAATCCAAGTGAATATAAGTGAACTCACATATTTAAGGGTTAGCTGTGGTAGAAGTCATTTTTTTTAGTAGGAACTAAAGAACAGTTATTTCATTAGTCTGTTTCTAATAATTGAAAATTAAGCCTTAAAAAATAAATAAATAAAAGAAAATTAAGCCTTGTGATCTACAAATAAAATAATGCTAATATTTTTCTCCTTATACTGAAAGAAGGGAGTAGCAGAGCTATAAGGGAGTAAAGGAGGCAAATGCATTTATCTTATCTAAATTGTATGCATCTTATAGGAATGTCTTATAAAATAGTAAAAATCTAATTTCTATGTCTACAGAGGTTTTTTTAGGGAAAAGTAACTGTCCTCTAACACACACACACACACACTCACACTCACACACACACACGGACCCTATGCCTTTGGTTGCTAAAAAAAAAAAAAACACAAGCAAGTACCATAGCCTATCACTAGAGTTGCTCTTGCACAGTTCTGGATGTAAGTATTTACATGTACATCTTAGTTAATTCTGAGATTTCTAATCAGTTGTACTAGGTTAAAGGAGACACCTAGTTGTACTAGGTTAAAGGAGACACCATAAAATAGCCTGATATGCAGTCAGCTCAGGGAAATTGGGAAATTTAAGTCAAAATTGGAATTGACTCCTTATTAATTTTAGAGAAGACTCCTGATGGTTAACCTCTCACCTAGCAAGTGTTCTTTTAAGAAGAACAATTTTAACACTAATACGTCGTCTCAGCCAACTTTTGAGGAAAACCCTCAGCCAACTTTTGAGGAAAACACCAATGTTATTATGGAATGTTTTTTGGAAAGGAGAAAGGGAACACTTTATGAATGACAGAGCAAAAGCTGGTGAAGTCCCAGGCATACCTGTGTTCATGCCATGGCATTGCAACTCACTATTTGTGTGATATTGGCTAAATCACCCTAACTGAGATCCATCTTCTCATCAGTAACACAGACATAGTAGCAAATATCTTCTAGAGAGGTAATGCAAACTAAGCTAGAGAAAACATGGACTAATGCTGGACACAGGACAGAGGCTCAATGTTAGTCTCTTTTCTTCTTGACTCATGGGGTTTCTATTCCTTACTCTCCACCCAGAATTTTCCATTGTCACCTTTAAGGATTCAGGAAGGCTCTTCCTCAAGGACCTCTCCAGTGACTGCAGCATTTGGGCACCTTGCAGTGGGAACATCATGGAAGGTACCTTAGCCTAAATAGAGAAACAGGAAACAGCTAGGAATGAGAAGAAGCTGGAAGAGATTCAGAAATATGAGTAGGAAGTTCTTTTCTAATGGCGAGGTCCCCCTTCAGTGTCTCTTCATCTGTGTCACCTTCAGTAAAGTCTTCACTAGCTCTCACCAACTCTAAGGAAGGACAAGACTGGTAGAACGCATGGGGGGTGGGAGGATTTATACATTTTTAAATTCACTTCCTTACATTTCAATGCATTCCAGCCATCTGTTTCATTTTAGGTTAACAAGCGCATTTTTAAGTACATATAACATCTTTTGAAATTTAGTTGCCATTAGTGATTCTCGTGACACCACCAGTAATAAGCCGTATAACATTGTGGAAGTTATTTACTCTTTCTGTGCCTTGCTTGCCTCTGTTAACCTCAAAAATAAAACTATCTTACCATCAAAAATGGTTTATTTGGAAATAGCAGGGAACTGCAATACCAGATAATGAAGCTATAGAAAATTATAAGCAAGTCTGGAGAACAAAAAAGAGGAACATTCTTTTATAAAAAGGAGAGGAAGAGGACTGTTATAAACAAAAAGTCCATTGGTAGAAAGGTGGAGTTCCCAGTATCAGGGCTTTTTCTTGGCTGAGTGGTGACTCTCTCATTGGCTGGGCTGTTGCTGAAGGGAGGAGGAAACCTGTCTGCTCAGTAGGAAAGTAGTAGCTAGAGTAAAATGGAATTTGGAAGCAATGAATCATAGGAATCTACCCCCCCCCCCCAACCAAGAGCACACTGTGTACACTGTATGTTAGCTAACTTGACAATAAATTATATTAAAAAAATAATTATAAATAAAATGGAATTTGGAAGGCGCTCTATTCCTGTTGGGTCTGCGGTGAATGCAAGCAGGAGTTGTATGGCAAGAGCTCCCCGCTGCTGGCTTCCTGACTCCATTCCAGAGGATTCCTTTTATTGATTTTCACACTTCGAAGGTGGATGGGATAACAGCACCATCTAACTTACAGACTTTTTTTTAGGGTTAACTGAGTTATTACATTAAAGGAGTCAATAAGTGCTTGGAATAGTATCTGTCAGGGGCTCCTGGCTGGCTGTCAGTACAGCATGTGACTCTTGATCTTGGGATCATGAGTTCAAGCTCCATGTTGGGCATGGAGCCCACTAAAAAGAAAAAGAGTATCTCTTGTATAAAAGCACTGAACATGTTATTTTATTATTCCTCCTCCCTCTCCTCTTCCTTCCTGTCCTTTTTCATCCCCTCCTTTTCTTCCTCCTCCTCCTTGCCACCTGAGTTAAAGTGCTGTTTACTGCAGTACATTTTGCTGCAATCTTTTTAATGTGGGCATTTGGACATGGTCTAAAATATAAACAACCTTTTAAAAAATTTCCAAGCTATATTCCAAGCTGGTATTTTCACCCTATTTTTTTTTTAGTCTTACTGTATCTCACTCTTGCATGTGTCTTGCATATTGTACGGATTACGAGGTGGAATAAAAATAGCATTTTTACATATTTGATTCACTGCGTGAAATTGGGATTTACCAAAACATTCTATAAAACCCCAACTACATGAAAAAGCAGAAAGGGCTGTGTCACAGCGTTCTATTTTGGAACCAGGATCCCTGGAGGAATACATCACTTCTAAGTGAAGGAACCAAAGAAGTGTTCAGAGAGGATGTTGCATTAAAACTGGCTGTGTGTGAGATTCCATGCTCCAGGTCGGAACTGGGTAGCTGATTTTACAACAGCACGGAGGAGGCTTCTACTTCTGGCCAAGAGAGCATAACAGGATCTGGATTTACCTCCTCACCTGAAAAAAAAAAAAAAAAGACAAAACTAAACAGTAAATGAAACAGCATTGCACAGAGCAGAGCCACTATCCCCAAGAAAAGGAAAAAAGAAAAGGTGAGTTTAATGATTGCATAGCTTATTGTTGGAAGACTGCAGCTCAGGGAAATGGAGCCTGACCAGATCACTGGGGTCTCAATGACTTGAGCATATAGAAGTAGAGGCCAGTGTGGAACTTGAGAAAGAGACAAAGCAGAGAGGGAGAAAGAGAGAGAGGGAGAACGAGAAGGAGAGAGAATGCATGAGAGAGGGAAAATGAGGGAGAGAGAGGGAGAATGAGAGAGAGTTCTGGAGATCTTTGGGAAAGAGCAGTCTCCTAGAGTCTTTGGCTCATCACTGAACTGTATAAGGGGAAACTACCTTGGGCTTTGGCCTAGGGAGAGAACCACTGGAAAAGATCAGGTGGAAAAATTCTTATAGCTGACACAAGTCTGGGAATAGTTTATGTTCTGACACACTGAAGTGAAAAGACCTTGTAGCATAAGGGCATTGAGTAAGAAGCTCAACAAGGGGGTTAAATTCAGACTTGTCTGTTCTAAATTCACCCTGCACTGATTAAAAGAAAGTCTTGAAATGATCCATCTGATTCCAATAACTTAATTGTGCACCAGAACAAAACGTACTTAAAAATGCAAGTACAACAAAATCTATCAACTAACAGTATATAATTCATATTGTCTCACCTCCAATAAAAACTGATACGATGGAAAGAAGCAGTAAAATATGATTCAGAAGCAGAAGACAAACACAAATCAGTAAAGACAGGCCCAGAGGAGACACTGTCAGACCTACAATCAAAATGTTTTTTTCTGTTGCAACAGTGCTTCTCCATGATGCAATAGTCCTTCTCTCACCTTCTTGCAACATTTGCAAATAAGGTTTCTCTTTACCTGAATAAATAAAAATGAGTAGATGCAGATATATTGCAACAAGCAGGCAAAGCCATTAAAAAGCTGTAATAATGCTGCTCTTCATGTTTAAGAAGATAGAGGGACACATCATGATAAGAGAAATGGAAGCTACAAAAGATGCATATTGAACTTATAGAAATGAATATATACAGCATTTAGAATAAAAAATACAGTGGATGTGATTAGCACTAGATTAGACATTCCAAAAGAAAAGATCAGTGAGATTGAAGATGCAGCAATTGAAACTATCAACAATGATGCATGGAGCAAAAAACAAGAAGGATCAGAAGACTTATTATTGCTAGTATGTCACCATTTATCCCCCAAATTGATCTACAATTTCAAATTAGCCATAAAACGTTTCAAGTTTTATTTGTAGAAATCACAGATTCTAAAATTTACATGATATCAAGGCTTACTAAAGAGCTATGGTAATCATCATGGAGTGGTCTTGGAATAAAGATAGACAAACCAATGAAACAGAATAGAGAAATTGATAGACATTTGTGGTCAATTGATTTGCTACAAAAATATCCAGACAAATGGGAGATAGGATATTCTTTTCAATAAATGGTGCTGATTATTTTTAAACAGTCAAGATTACTTCTTGATAGACTCAGTAGTTGTAAATTTCTAAATGTAGACGTTAGAAGAAAGTCACTCTTGTCTATACTTACTTGTCCCTCTGCTACTTTCTGCTCCCCAGGTCATTTATCTAAAAATAGATCCCCATTCCATTTAGGGTGTTTTATGAATTTGAGAAAGAAAAAAAGCAGCACCCAAAACATAACATTTTCACAGAACAGCAGAACCTGGCAAGGTCATTCAATGGCCTTGATGGAAGGGGACAAAAACGAGATCATTCCACAATCATGTTTGAGCATGGACAAAACAAGAAGGCAGTCTTATCTGCAAAAACAGCCAAATACTCTCCCCAGGTAACAAGTGGCTGCCACTTCTTTACCCCTAATCTTTCTTCCTGCTTCATGGACAAAAGTCTTCCATACAATTGCAGTGTTTTCTGACAATATTCAAGGCAGAGCAAATCCATGCTTCCTTGAATCCTTCCCCAAATCGTGTGTCAAGTCCCTCCTGACACTGTTACTGAGGTGTACCACATTTCCTTCCTTATAGTGTGCTCTCCCTTTTGTTGCAACAGATAATAAATCCCAACTTTGCTGGGTTACAGGTGTGTTCTACATGGCCTTTGACTAGAAGTTATTGATAATGTTTATAGCAGCATTATCAACAATAGCCAAACTATGGAGAGGGCGCATATGTGTATTGACTGCTGAACGAATAAAGATGTGGTACACACACACACACACACACACACACACACACACACACACACACAGATACACAGAAACACACACACTGGAATATTACACAGCCATCAAGAAGAATGAAATCTTGTTATTTGTAATGATGTAGATGGAGCTACAGTGTATTATGCTAAGCAAAATAGGTCAGAGAAAGACAATACCATATGATTTCACTCATATGTAGAATTTAAGAAACAAAACAGATGAACATATGGGAAGGGAGGGGAAGAAGAGAGGGAAAGAAACCACAAGAGACTCTTAACAATAGAGAACAAACTGAGGGTTGATGGAGGGAGGTTGGTGGGATGGGTTAGATGAGTGAGGGGTATTAAGGAGGGCACTTGTCATGATGAACACTGGGTGTTGTATGTAAGTGATGAATCATTGAATTCTACCCCTGAAACCAATATTGCACTGTATGTTAACTAAAATTTAAATTAAAAAAAAAAGTTATTGACACTTATTTAAATATTTAGCTCTGAGGCATTTGTTCCTACTGGATTGTTCACTGTTTGCTTTGACTTCCTAGGACTCAGAGACTTCTCCTTTTCAGCTTAGCTCCTCAGACTACTAGTTTTTCAGGGTGGTCATGAAAGATTTGGTTTTGCAAAAGTGGAACCAATATTAGTTTGTTTCTATGGAAAAACATATCTAGGTTACAAAGATTTCACTATGTTTTGGTTGCTTTAACATGTTGGGTAATGTGTAGATCGTCAAATGTTCCTGATTTTTCTATGTGTGTGTCCTCTGTCTCCTTCCAAGTCCCTGTCAATCATTTGAAGAAAACAAAATGATGAAATGGCATTATGTGATAAATGTGAAATAGCATTATGCTGCAAAAAAAAAAACCTATGTACATAACCTTAATTTTAAAATGCTAACCATTATCTCAGCTTTCAGTGAGTCATAATCTTTTTTT